CCCCTGCCACACCAGGCTGTAACTCAGCCTCCAGGTACACATAAGGTCAGGTACTCTGCTGCGGGTCAATGCCTTGCCTTGGCTCCAGGACAAAAAAGAGAATTACTTAAAAAAGAGATGCCGCACCAGATGAGGGTGCAGCATCTTCTGTGATACCGGAAGGACAAGATCTAAGGCCCAGTCTGTGATTCCAGCTGCCCCATCATGACTGTGATGTCAAAGAGCCATCAGCCACTTGTTCTCTTCACTAGCTGCTGCCCGAAGGGCTGGATGGATGGCCACAGGCAACCAACAAAACTCTCAGAGCTCCACGGGTAGTGACAGCACTAGCTCATTCCTCATCTTCAACCAAAGATGTTTAGGATGAACGAGTCCCAGAAGCTGTCCAAAGCTCTCTCTTCAGCCACTTTCCACAGCTGCCTGGCCCCTCGGGGATGGCCACCACCTGGGCCCATCGATGCATTGAATATGAACAACACAGGCCAGGTGGGATAGCACATGCCTCCTCTTCAAGTGCATGGCATGCTAACAGAGAAATAGCTTCCATAAAATCACAACACAGTTCCCGACCAGGAAAGAAAACTGAAGCAAGTTAGTTCCCTATTTGATGAGCAAGAGGTTCAACAAAGATGGCCTCACAGAAGAAAGGACTCACCCCTTTACCTCTTCCCTAACCTCATGACCTTGGGCCAGTTCCTTCACCTCAGTCTCAGTTTCTTTGTCTGTAAAGTGGAGATTTTTTAAAAAAGTCTCAGCATTATAGAAGATCCTGAAGTGTACATGGAATAAGATGGCTTTGGACACAGCCTGCAACACTGTCACAGCTCAGGGAGCACTGATGACCATTAAGACCCTGATCTTCATCACCGTTAGAAGTCACTCCATACACAGCCTGCCAATAGCTCCCCAGACCCTCTTTCACTGAGGTGCAATGCTCTGAGCACTGGCCCCTGATCCCCATAATTCCTCGTCTTATCCTTATGGGGTAGAAGACAGACTTCTTTTGAAGTAGTTTTTTTCTTTTTAGGGTATCTAGATGTAGCCTCATATGCAACAGCTGGGATCAAAGATGCTCTACAAAGAGTCACAAGTTCACAGCATGTTGGGCCACAGGTTGGGGGGTAGAGAGCACCCATCAGACAGGCCTGAGCAGCACAGGAACACAGAATGAATAGAGCCCCAACTTATTCCAAGAATATTTCTGACTTGATGATACTGAGAAAGTGTTCACCCCGCCGCTGAGTTTTCATTTGCAGGACACTATGCAATAAACAACATGAGCTAGCCTGCACCATCATAAAACAAGATTTGTGCTCAGTGATTTTGGCCAATTTTAGGCTAATGAAAGTGCTGCATGCATTATAAAGATATGTGTGCGGCATCTTTTAAGATATACAGTGAAGGCTGAGATTTCCTGAGACAGGCCTGGAATGCAGCTCCAGCTGCTAGGTTATGGCATGCAGTACCTTTGCTGTATCCAATGCACTTTCAGCTTACAGTGTATTCAACTTACAATGAGCTTCTCAAAATGGAGACCCATGATAAGTCAAGGCACCCCTGTACAGCACAAATGGAGAGATGAGCCCTCTGTTGTCTGCATGTCAGGACGTAGGCTATGTCTCTGTCAGCATCTTCCATGCCACACAGAAGAGTGGCATCATGCATTTCGCCTGTACTGGTTGGTGAACCTCGGAGAACACTGGTTCCTCCACCAGGTGAGACTCTCCCTCCCTCCCTCGCTCTGCTGGGCACCCTGGCATCAGGACAAAGAGGTGGAGTCCTCCCCACAGCCCAAGTGAGACTGGGCACCCTGAGGCTCCAAGGCTTGGCCACTCCAGCCAGCTCTGCCTGGTGTCTTCAGATGTCACCACCAGAGGTTACAAGATGATGTCACCAACCTTCAAAATGCATCAGAGTACACAGTGACTAATGGGACTATGCAGGCTACAGGGACACGGCCTAGGGGCTCTCTGCACTGGGTCCACAGGAGGAAGGCTGACAGTGGAGCCCCAAAGCAGGGCATTTTCTCAAATTCAGAGTGGAGAGGGGACTGGGGACCATGACAAGCAAGTAGGGGCCAGTGCCTGGCAACTGTGTTCTTTCTTAACCCAGTGTGTTCTAGGTGAGTCATAAGACTTGCCTTGAGTCTCTTATTATACAACTGGGGAAACTGAGACCCAGATAGAAAAAGGAAATTCCTGTGCTGAAAATCTGGAACCCAGGCTAAGGTTGGGCCTGGATTCAAAGTAGCACACACAGATGGACCACAGACCCTGAGCTTCATTCTCCCCCAGACTGGAGATCTCTTTTCCTCTGTGGGAGAGCCATGTTCTTTGGGGCTGCCTTTTTGGTTTTGTTCTATAGCCCAGGCTGGTCTAGAACTCACTGTGTAGCCTAGGCCAACTTGTAATCATCCTGCCTCAGCCTCCCCAGTGCTGTGACTACAGCATGCACCGCCACACCCAGCTCTGGGAGCTGCCCTTGAAAGATCTTCACTGATGCCCACAGCCAGCAAATAGGCCTTTCCTTCTAGGTGAAGCCCAGGGAAAAGGGAGACTCGGGAAACTGTGGGGAGGCCGGGGAAAAGGCCTGAATTTGCCAGGCTGTGGTGTTTTTAAGTAGGCAGATGTCTTCACTGTAGCCAGAACTATAGAGCCATGGTCAGCCCCGCTAAGGGGACCACACTGATTTTTACCCACAGGACAGTGAGGCCCAATGACAGATGGTAACAGGAGGCAGCCACCAGCTTGATCCCAAGGTAAATTCCAAGCCTCTTATGGCCACGGGGAAGTGACAGGGACAGGGAGGGAACTACATGGCAACATATAGAATTAATCATGGGGCCAGGAGCTGGGAACACTGTAAGAGAAGTGGAGCTAAAACACAACATAATAACAACCACCATTGATTAAGCACCTACTGTATGCAGGCCCTATACAAAGAAGGCATGGCCATACTATGCATACGGCAAATGTATAATTAGCCTATTACAGATGAGGAAAGTGAGACTCAGACTAAGAAACACTTAGCCCATTATTAGAAAGTATCCAGCTTAGATTCAAGCCTAGGCATTTCTCTCCCTAGTTCATGCTCCTGGTCATGACACCTCCCTCACCTGCTGCCCCAACGGTGTGATCTCTCTTGCCCGCCTTTGTCTTGTCCTAACTTGCCAAGCTGCTGTCTTCCTGCCATGCAGACCCACCACACAGAGCATCTCTGGTTTCTCTGACAGTGATTTCTCTTGACAAATTAATAAATTCATCTTCTGCTGCCGATGTGCATGTCCTGGGTGCTGTTTTAGTTTGCTTGAGGCAGAGCCTGAACAGCCTGGGCACTGAGACAAGCCAGGCACTGGAATGTTGTCCTAACTTACATCTGCATGGGTCCTTCTGGTCCAGACCCTCAGCTGACCCCTGCAGTGCCTCCCATACATGCTGTGGACTGATCCAAGCTCATCACCCAGGCTTGTCTACCCGTGCAGTTATGTGTCAGGTTACTGTGTCTGTCCCACGGAGAGAATTAGGAGGTACCTCACTTTTTCAGAGGTCTATGGCCTCCCTGGAATGCTTCCATAAAGTAAGGAGCAAACCCCACATTTAGAGAGACTGCCTTTTTCTTCCTGGATCTTTGAGGGATCTTGACTATCAAATCACAACAGTTTGTCTACTATATGTTAGAAAGATCCAGATTCAAGTCAGGCCTGGTGGCACAGGCCTGTGATCCCAGCTACTGAGTCAGGAGGACTGCAAGTTCAATGCAAGTTCAAAGACAGCCAGGGCTACAGATCAGTTCAAGATCAGTCTAGGCACATAAAAAGACACTGTGTCAGGGGCACGGTGCTTGGCTAACACATGTGAGGCCCTGGGTTCATGTTCAATACAGATAGAAAGGGAGACACAGAAAGGAGAGGGGAAGGGAGAAGGAGAAAGAGGGAGGGAGGGAAGAGGAGAGAGAGATTGAGAAAGACAGAGAGAGAGAGAGAGAGAGAGAGAGAGAGAGGATGGAGACAGGGAGGAAGGAGCCAGATTCAAACCCACCTCAACATTTGGTAGCTGTGTGGCTTGAGTGATTTCTCTGCTGTCCCTAAACCTCAGTTTCTCTGTCTACACTTTGGAAATGACCCATCTCTGCAATGGGCAGATGCCAGACTCGAATGAGGACCCGGGGGTGGGGGTGGCAATTAGCATGTCTGGTGCTCAGTAAACATCTCTCAGCATACTACCTATGGCACACAGAGGAGCATGTGGCCACACTGGGGGCAGGAGTTGCTGCCTCCTCAGCCTAACATCCACCTCCCCTGGGCACCCCATCAGTCAGCATTGCTCTCTTGCTGGAGAAGCAGCTGGCCTTGCTTCTGGGGCCTCATCTCTGACCCCAGTGTACCCATTTCACAAAATATGCCCCTGGGTAAGATGGAAAGCCTGGAACCTCAGCTCTCCATCACCAGAAACTTCTATTCCCACCAAGTCATAAGCACTCATAAGCACTCTGTCTCTGACAGTCGTTTATAAAAGTGGACACTAAGCCTCAGGCCTCGCTCAGTCTGATTTGAACCCCAATGCGTCTTTGAGATATAAAGGTTATATATGTTGACCCGAGTAAAAAAAATACATGTAATTTCATCACAGACCCCATGCACCCAATGGCCCAGAGAACTCCAGAGGTGAGCACCTGAAAGATGGCAGAGAGCAGCGAGGGAAAAGTGGGTGTCCTTGATAATGCCCCAAGCCTTTGCTCTGTTATTCCTTCACACCTGTACACAGGAACTAGGGACCATGACAGCAGCCAGTCACCACCAAGAGCCAATTACACCCCCTTCAAAACCATCCAGAGAACCAGGCACAGGTGGGAGGTGGCAGGGGAAGGATGAGTGAGATTTAGAAGCAGTAAGGGAGGGCAACAGCGTGCACCTGACGGGGAAGGCAGCAGGCCGGGTGGGGAGGTGGCACCAGGGTCTGGTGACCGCAGTCGGTGCAGCCCAGGGGCTGGCAGCCACTTACTGGCAGAGAAGTTGGCCTCCGTGTGGACAGGTGGAGTGGAGGGCAGAAAGGGCGCATGGCCCACAAAGAAGGAGCGCAGGGAGCGCTCAGACAGGAGTGGGGAGCACTGCTGGGCTGGAATGTTCTCACAGCTGCCCACGCCACTGTGGATCTTGAGGTTCAGGGGTTTGCTCTTCTTCTTGGCTCTGAAAAGGAGACAGAGAAAGACAAAAGGAGATGAATCCGTTCATGTACAGAATTAGACCCAACCTTGGGTCTACCACTGAGAATCCAAAGCCACATGATTTTAGGGGCAGAGAAAGGGGACTGGGTGGAAGGACTTTACCCTCCTGCCTCCCAGCTCCTCTCAAAGCCCCTTCTGCTGTGGGGCACAACCCCAAAGGCACACAATTCCTTCTCCAGGCAGTTCAGGTCAAATTCAATGTCCAGGAGTGGGAAGACAGCTCAGTCAGCATGCTGTGCAAGCATGAGGACCTGAGTTCGATCCCCAGCACCCATGTTAAAAGCCAGGTGTGGTGGCATGCATCTGTACTCTCAGCACTAGGGAGGCAGACTCTGGGGTTTCTGGGGCTCAGTCAGCCTCCCCAAATCAGTGAGATCCAAGTTCAGTGAGAGACATTGTTTCAAAGAACCAAGGTGAAGCGGGACTGTGACTGAGGAAGACACCTACACACACACACACATACACACACACACACACACACTCACACACAGAGCTCAGCTCTCAAAGCAACCCCAACCCAAGTGTGACTTCCCCAGGGAAGGTCACAAGTCTCCAGCCTACAGCCAAATTGCCCTCCAGTTTAATGAGGACTTCAGGTCCTGGGTTGAAGTGCAGCAGGCACAGGACAAAGATTGAGGTGACACTTGCCCCCTGTGAGGTTCCTGCTGCTGTCCTGCACCTGTGTCACACAGCCTATTTCTGCAAAAGTCAAACCTGATTGTTTCTAAGACAAACCCAGGAGATGAATCTTTGTGGAGCATCCCCACACCCTTTCTAGAAACTTCTATTCTTTGTCAGGTTTCTGCTGCTGAGCCCATTTCAGAGCTCACCCGTGGGTCTATGTGGTTCTCAGTTGAATCCCTACCAAGGGCCTCAGGTGGTGTCACTTCAACAGTGCAGAAGAAAGGGGATCCAGACACCTTTGGCTGGATTCATGGAGTTCCACAAGGGTGGCTGCTGGAGCTGTGACAGCTTGGATCAAGACTGAACTTGGGAACCTCTCCTTCCCTCCTTCCCTGTCCCCACCTCTGTAGCAGGCCTGCTCGAGGTAAAAGTTGGACTATGAACTGGAGATCTCACCACCCTGGGATAAAGCAGTCACGCTCCTGAGGTGGTCTCCTCTCTATCAGCATCCTTTCCAGGGATGCTGGGAGGGTATCAAATGATGCTGCAGACTCATTCAAAGCATCAACAGGTATTTCTACATTATAAAGCAAACCTTTTATTTCCTTTAGAAGAAAAATCTGCTCCTAAAACACAGTGGAAACTTGTAGGAAGTTTGGTTCTCTTCTCATAGACTCTTATTTGGCACCCAAGATTGAGTGGCATTCTTTGCATAACTGGTACCTAGCCAGTGACTCTTCTCCAAGCTCCCTTGAGAGGCTCCCAGGAGCCCAGGTCAACAACTTAAGCACTTGTTGAATGACTCCTACAGTGGCAAGGGAGGGGGCCATGGGGGGTCTGTCTTGGAACCTCAGAGCTCACAACCTTTGACCCATGACCGACTCTGGATCTGCTTCAGAGGAGAGGGAAAGGAAGCTGGTTTCGATGGGTACTGGTCCTCTCTGCTGTCAGATTGAGTGCTCACTGTCCATCTACACACAGTACATTCAGCTCACCTCAAAACTGAGGTGGCCAAAATGGCCAGTGTAAGGAACTAGACAGGAAACTCACTGAAAAAGGGACCACAGGGTGTCAAACAGTTAATACAAATGATGTTCAACCAGAAACAACTTGATTCCCTCAAAAAAAGAAGTATAATGAATATTTTAGTGCATCCTGGGAGAAATCCTACTTGTGAGAATAACTGTCATATTAGTCTAGAATTTCCTGTCTGATAAGGTGGCTACTCACCATATGAGTACTTGAAATGGACTTGGTAATAGCAGCAAATATATTACTAATAATATGTATATACATTATAAAATATGTTTTTAATTTCACAAAGTGAGAAGCCTAGCAATTATGCACAGTCTAATGCTGAAATAAAAATGTAGGGTTTTGCTAATTTGGTGGTACAATCCTGTAATCCCAGCACTCAGGAGGCTGAGGCAGTAGCACGTTGACACTGAGGTTAGCCTGGGATATGCAGTGAGCTATGAGCCAGCTTGAACTACAAAACAAAACTCCACTTAAAAAAAAAAAATCAGGGCTTCAAGATTCTTTTTTGACTTTTTTTCTGGCCATCTTCTTGTAAACAGATCACCAGGAGGTGAAGTTACTCAATTTCCAGTAGGATTCCTCACACTGAGACGGTGATGAGGAGGAAACACAAAGAAACGAGGGCTCCAGCCAGGTGCTGATTAAGTCTTGCTCCGAAGCAAGGAAAGGACGTCTCTAGAATCTAAAGCATGGAACACGGGTGTTTTAAGAACCTCTTCACTTTCCCAAACAGGGGGCTTGAGAACAGTATTTATATCCCCAATGGTGGCTCCCATTACTGCTCTTGTGATTTAAACACAGCCCTCAACCCAGGGACAAAATCAAGGACTTGTGGGTATTACTTTAAGCATCGAAGTCATTTTAGGAGGGACATGCTATCATCTGTCATCCCCTCTCCATTGACGAGGACATTGAAGTGGAGGAGACAAGAAGGGACCCGGCAGAGGTGGCTCCAGAGTCCCAGTCTCAACTGCCAGATTCTCCATGTCTCCCCTAATCTCAGACCAGTCACCTCAAGGAGCTGGACTTTGCGTTGTCTTTCTCCTTGCCCTGCCTGACGATCTCCCCACACCCCACAGCCCAGTTCAAAAGTGACCAGGTCTGGGAGTTTCTCTCCTAGCTCTCTAAAACCTCCCCCTCTCAATCCCAATCCCCATGCCACCATCTTACTTCTGGGAAGACACGAGTTCCTGACATGGCTCCTGATTGCTATCCTACACACATACTTTCTCCACGTGGCTTTCCCACCGTGGTCCTAGCTGTCTCCACGGGCCCTCCCTTTCCCTGCTCATTGAACTCTGTCTTGATGGCTCAGCTCTGGTGGGTCTCTTGCAGGAACCTTCCTGGAAACCCCACTCCTCCCAGCAGGGGTGGGGATTCTTCCTCCAGAAAGCCCTCTGATACTCCCTCCTTCCCTTCTGGCCTGGGCTACTGGTTTCTTATCTGTGTGGCTCTGTTTTCTTATTTTCCCGACTTTCCCCATATTTGCCATGCCCCCAATGGAATGTGAGCCTCAAGGGCAGCGACTCTAAACTAGTACAGTGCCTGGCACAGAGTAGGTGCTTCTTAAGTGGGTCTTAAGTGACTGTTCTGGATAAAGACTGTGGCCCAGGCATATCACACTGCATTCCAATTCTGTCTTCCACACCAAATCACAGGTTCCCTGAGGGCAGGAACCACATAGACAGCCTGTCTCTCTCAGTCCCTGCTTGGCACCTGTGGGATGAAACATACCTCATAAGTTAGTTTAGAATCAGGCCCCTTCTTCAAAATGCTGATTTAAGAGCTCTTGGTGTAAGACTACATCCCTAACTAATCTCAAGGCCCTTCCCACCCACCTCCCCAAACTCCCAGCAGCCCAGCACGGAACCAAGCGCCCTCTGGTGGCCACTTGCAAACTGCTCTAGGCCTCCCACAAGCATCACCTAGAAGCCATGCCCTACCTCTAGGTAGGAGGGGTGCCTGCCAAGGCACCCTTCTCAGCACCTGGGTGGCCAGTCCTGCTTGTTATCCCTCCAGGGGCTTAGAGGTCCAGACAAGTGCTTACTACAGCAGCTCCCTGCCCAGAGCTGGAGAAGTCAGGGAAGCATGAGGCAGGCGGCATTTTGTTTCCCACAAAGTGTCCAGTGGTATTTCATGAAGTGTGTGCCCCATGACAGACACAGGCTTTGGCGACAGGGAAAGGGACTCAACCCTGATTGTGAGGCCAGGAGAATAATGGCTTTCTTGTGCCTCAGTTCCTCCCCTTGACAGTGGAGGGAACGCCAGTCTCCTCTGGCCATGTGAGGCTCCGCGAGGATCTGAGGCAGCACACTTCTCCTGGACAAGCCTGGGTGCCATTTCCTGTCATCAGTGTTCTGTGCTCGGCTTAAGTCTCATGGCTGCACAGCCTGGAAGAAGCCAATTATTGAAGCCAGGCTGGACTTTACATGAATCATCTAGAATTCTCTCCACTAGCATTGGTAAGGGAAGAGGACATGGCCAGGCCCTCTGAGCACAAAGCCCTGATCATCCCCAAACACTCAGGAGAGCCTGAGGCACTGAGCCAACAGAACAGGCTGTGCAGCAAGAACAGAGTGTGTCCCACTCAAACCCAGCAGCTCAGGGACATCAGAAGTGATGTGTTTACTTTACTAACCACAGCCACAGGAGAAGAGAGGGCTGTGTGCAAATAATTGTCAATCATACACATGGACAGAAGGAAGGAAGGGAGAAAGGGAAGGAAAGGGGAAGGGAGGGAAGGGGGATAAAAGATGAAAGGAAAAGAGGGAGAGAAAAAGAGAGGGATAAAAAGTGATGGGATGAAGGAACAGTAGAAGGAAGGAGGAAGGGAGGGAGGGAAGGAGGAAGGCAGAGAACATGGATGGGTTGATGGGTGGTTGGGTGGATAGATGGATGGATGGATAGGTGGGTGGGTGAGTGGATGGATGGGCAGATATTTAGATGGGTAGGTGGATGGATGGATGGATGGATGGATGATGAATGGATGGATGGATGATGAATGGATGAATAGATGAATGATGAATGGATGGATGGATGGATGGGCAGATAGGTAGATGAGTATGTGGGTGAGTGGATGGATGGATGGGCAGATAGGTAGATGAGTATGTGGGTGGGTGGATAGATGGATGGATGGGCAGATAGATAGATGGGTAGGTGGGTGGGTGGCTGGATGGATGGATGGATGGATTATGGATGAATGGGTGGACAGATGGATGGACAGGGAGGCAGATGGGTGATGGATGGATGGATGGATGGGCAGATAGGTAGATGGGTGGGTGGATGGATGGATGGGTGATG